TAAGTAATTTAAGTAATTTAGAATGTTCAATTCTATTTAATACTTAATTCGTTTCTTTCTCAAAATTGAATAACGTAAAATTTTGTAATACAGCAATATCTGTTGCTTATCAAGTTTTAGAGGATAACGATCTTCAAAATTCTGGTCTAGGTATAACCTCTAGCAAGTATTCTGCCTTTTTCGTAACAAACAGATTTATTGGACATATTGGCAACATGAATGCAGCAGCAATTATTTATTTTAATAACAATAATAAATATCTTAGATCAATAAAAACATCTTAGCTTAACAAAAATATCTTAAATCAACAAAAACACCCTTAACGTTTTCATTTTTAATTAGAGAAATGTCACCTACAAAATTCTGTGGAATAATAGTGGTTTCTTCTACACATAAATTAATTTTCTTAGACTCGTAAAGTTGACGTTATTTTAATTAAAATATGTCATACTTGGTTGCATCTAACGAAAACTGTAACCATATCATCATTTACAAATGACTAACCTACGATAACAAAACATTCTGTATATTGTCCGGTATGTCAACGGCAGCAGTAGCTAAATCAATATTCAAAGTTGTAATATTTGAAGGTACTATAACAAAATCTTCTGCATAACCACACAAACGTACTAATGTGGGCTCACCCTGTAGATGCAACTTGTTTGCATTCGATTCACGAATTGTAACTACAGCACAACCCGAGTCTACAAAGCCATCATTAATAACACAATCAATGAAATAGCAAGTACTAGATGCCTGATTATTAGATAAAATTAAAATTGGTGTTGACTCACCCTTATTTTGTTGATCAGCTGGTCTTTTACTTACATTTATGCACAACGCATTTTGTGCATTCAACACGTGGTTTCGGATACTTTGACTAAAAATTACATTTATTTTTACATTTATCACACATTTAAAACATCAGGTTTTGTTTACGGTTTGGTACTTTGTGTATTCGAAACGGAATAATATAACTCAACTTTCAGGGACGGCTTTATCAACTTTCAGGGAAGGCTTCATCAAACCGTCTGTTTTTTGAGTAGCTTTGACAGGTATCCTTCAACAATGCCTCTGGTTTTTTGTAACGACCAGAGCGAGCAGCAGTATGGATGGTGACTTGGGATTTCGTCTTGACATTCTCTTTATTACTGTTTACAACTTCTTATTCTAACTTTGTATCTGTAACGTGTGGAGGGTGGGTTACCCCACGGCACTTAGGCCTCATTAGGTTTATTGTGCATTTCTAACTTCGTATGTAACACTTGAACTTTAATGACTGGAACAAGAATGAATATAAACCATGAGATGTGCTTTGTACTATATTTTCTGGCGATATACCTAACTATCGCTTCTTTTTACGATCCCCTTCGTTAAAGGGTGACCTATTGTCTCGTCTCGTCGGAATATAAATACGTTCAGCTCGTACGCCTATAGAGTCTAAAAGCTTTACTCATCGTTCTTAACACGATCATAACACCAAGTTCTTAACACTATCTTAACACGAATCATTGAATAACTTAACTAATGATATCCTTTTTAGTTACGTAACTACTTAAGTTTTTGCACGACCTTATATAAAGTATTTCACTTACCCCGTACGTTTTTTTTATACCAAAGGTAAGCAGTTAGTTCACCCTACACCTGAACTGTAAACTGTGTTAATTAATTTTAAATGGAATAAATCGGATTTTAATATACAATCGAATTTAATCGGTGTTAGAATAATTATATATAAAATGAAACATATCGAATGAATATCCATGTAAGATGCTTCTCACCTAATTTTTTATGCGTTCCAGTCCGACGTACCGTTCTACGAAAAATGAGTAGCACTCGTGAGTCATGACAGGGTGGTCCTAGCTTGGCGATAAGCGACATATTTGAGTGGCTACACACCTTCTGAAGCTAATATTTTCCTAGGTTTCTGAACTATAGTTAAACCAGTTTCATCGCAGCTCTTAATGAAGTATTTTCATTTCTGTTGAAGAACGTTCCTATCCAATCAGGCCCCACTTCTTTATTCTTGTGCCATGGTTCTGACACCGAAATCTAGTATGTAGACGAACAATTATATTTAAGATTTTATACGTCTTTGGGCGTTAAACCTTATTACATGTTGCTTTATTTTATCATGTTAAATGGCCTCCTGCTCATGAATGAAGAGTTGCATGTTCGGCCAGTAGCCTACTCTAATGGAAGATTCTGGTTTCCAGTTTTCTATTGTCGCTTTTTTCTTCTTTAAATACCTTTTTTTTTGTTAGAGTATTGTTACTAGTCATTAGTGACTAACCTACAATTTTAATCAATGAAGTTATGGAAGAAATTCAGACAAATATCAACTCACAGAAGGCCCCAGGATGTGACTTATTACTGGAGAAATATTAAAGAAACTACCACGGAAGGCTATTGGTAAATTGACATACATCATTAATGCAGCATTTCGCCTTAAATATATACCTGATGCGTGGAAAATGGCTGAAGTTATCCTTATTCCTAAGCAAGGAAAACCTCTGAATGGAGTGTCATCATATTGACCTATATCATTGTTACCGATAATATCTAAGTTATTTGAAAGACTACTACTAAAACGACTGAAACCAATAATTGAAAATAAAAATCTGATCCTTTGGCACCAATTTGGTTTTAGAAACAAATACTCGACAATAGATCAAGTGCACAGGATAGCCGATATCATCGAAAAAGCTTACGAAGAAAAATATATATGCTCAGCTATATTTCTTGACATAGCCCAAGCATTTGACAAGGTTTGGCACGCTGGCCTAATCCAGAAACTTGAAAAAAATGCTCCCTAGATAATATGTCGACATTCTACCATCATATCTAACGGGAAGAATGTTTAGAGTAAAGCAAGACGAAGCATACTCCGAAATAAAAGAAATTAAAGCAGGTGTCTCACAAGGCAGTGTGCTAGGACCGGTTCTTTACTTATTATACACCCAGCGATATCCCTCAACAACAATCTGTTAAAACAGCAACATTTGCGGATGAAACTGCAATATTGGCAGTTGGCATAACTAATACAGAGACCTCAGAAAAACTTCAGAAAACCTGCAACAGAATCAGTCGATAGACAAAAAAGTGGAAAATAAAAATAAATCAAACTAAATCAGTGAATGTTGATTTTACTCTTCAACCAAATGAACAAAAACAAATAAGAATAAACAATGACGTTATTCCGCATCACGATTCGGCCAAATACCTAGGGATGAACCTAGATGCAAGACTTAAAAGGAAAGAGCACATAAAAAAAAAGCGTAAAGAACTTGAACTTAAATTCAAAAAAATATATTGGCTCGTAGGAAGAAAATCCAAATTGTCAGTGCACAACAAACTGCTGATTAATAAACATATCCTAAAACCAATCTGGATTTATGGCATACAGCTATGGGAATGTACCAGCAAGAGCAATATCAACATGATACAAGTTTTCCAAAATAAAGTCCTAAGATGCATTGTTGATGCACCTTGGTTCTACCGAAACGATTATTTTCATAGAGATCTGAAGATGCCAACAATCGAAGAAGAAATAAAGAGGTTTGCTTCGAAACATGAGTGTCGACTCCACTCGCACGTCAACGAAGAAGCGCTGCAATTAATGGACAACTCTACACTCAACAGTAGGCTCAAAAGGAAGAAGCCATTTGAGCTAGTGCAGTAAACGTAAATGTTAGTGCCAGTGTAAAACAGTGTAATAAATTGTCACGCCAACTTGTGATACTTTCCTATAGAAACAATTAAGACAGCTCAATGGGGACTTCTTAGATAAGTAATTAGTTATAAGATTTTTAATACCTGAACAGTGTAACATGACATAATTCTGAGTCTGTGGTCATTCCTTAAGTTGTTTGATCTCGGCCTTCTTCCAAAATGGCAGCAGCTCTCGCAAACGTGTTTTTGATGCATTATCACGTTCTGTCTTTTATCTATAGTTCTTTGTTCTACAAAAAAAATCATTGCTGAATTTATGAAGGCTACGTTGTAAGGGGTAGGTTGTAGGTTGTATCAGGTTACAAGCTGACCCATAAAACTGTTAATTTTACCCCTAAATGTTTTTCATAAATCTAACCCTAATAGAAAAAAAAACCTATAATATGAAGCAAGAAAAAAACAGAGTGTAAATTGTTGGATACAATGATGTTTCACCCTATATATTTTTATTGTTTTGTTTTTCATTAATCAATGTTTGATAATAAAATAAAATATGATTGATGTCAAGTTTCATGAATAAAGGTTTACAAAAGTTAAACATATAATTTAATACTGTACAGTTAAAACAACATAAATATCAATCAACTTACTAATATTAAAACTTTTATTCTAGCTCAAATACTAACAAAGCTATCCCAAAAATAAGACGAAACTAAAAAGGTACTAACCTGCAATTGTGATGACCACAACACTCGTATTGACTGCTTGACCTCGACTAAAACCTACGCAGGCAAAAGACAATCGCTTGAGTAATTACCTCTTCTTCTTACACACACCTAGGTCTGTCTTTGTCCCATCTGTGAAACCGTTACTTTTTGCCCTGGTAAAACAGCCCCGGTCTCACCTACCATATTTTTTGCATAATTTTAACACCTTTTTTTAACATTATTTTATACATTAATAAATAGCGTGTAAAATTTTTTCTCATTTACATTTTTTTTTAATATTGATATATTTATATTATGTTACACATATCTGTTTGTTTGTAAACTAAATCCCACTCAGTAAATTGTTTGGAGTTGAAAAACCGGACCTGATATTTAAATTTTAAAGAAACCCATACATTTTGTATGCGTAACTAATTAATCTAATATGTAAAAAAAATGGAATCAGTTTTTATATCCAGTTATAAATTAAATTAGTACGTTTAAAATTTTAAATCGTGCCGCCTTAACTGGTACACCAGGTATACAGCATTTAATAATATTAATTGTCAATTCATTAGAAAGCAACAAATCCAAGGGATCGGCTCCGTTGAATATATATAATCACAACTATAATTTTCTAGTCACAGCTATTGCGTAAACTCTGTAAGCCGGTTTCGAAAAAGTGTGGTATTTTTCTTCAACAGATTAGTTCAGCTACACGAGAGGGAATATGTGATTTTAGGGAAAACCAAGTGATTATTGTGATTACAAAGTTTAAAAATGTGCAATAAGGTATGTATATCCAATATTTAAACTTTGATTAAAATTAGTCGGTTATTATTAGTTAGTTTTTTATTGGGACAAACTTTATTAAAATTGTATTTAATTGAAAAGATTTTTAAAATAAATCTGCCTTATTATAATTAGGCTATTTTCAAAGAATAAATAACACTCAAAATAAATAGTACATAAAGTATTTATTATCAATAAATTAATGAAGATCCTATATTACAAGAATTCAGAAATAAATAGCATGAAAAAGATTACAATTAAATGTAATTAAATCAAAAGATTCTCTCCAAGATTAAAATCATTGAATAATTAATACTATTAAAGTTAAAAAGCAGTTATCAGTGATACGAAGAAAATTGCAACATCATGTGGTAAAAATTTCAATTTTTTAGAAAATGGGCAAACATAAAAATAAGTGCTATATGAAAGGTCATTTATTAAATATTAATAATAAACATTTTTTATTAAATTACGATATCCTTCAGTTCAATGATATAGGCCAGTCAATAAAGAAATTAATTTTGTGACAGTGATACTAAATGGGCTTACATATTTATGTTTTGATCAGAGTTTTTTTTTTAATATCAGAAACAAATATCTGTACATAGTTTTATGTAGAGTGACAGCCCTGATATTTGACTAAATACTTATTTTTTTACCAATATACTTCTGATAACCGATAACTGCAAATTAAGAAAAGTTTCTTACTAAAATATCTGTACGTTAACATATACGTTAATATATAACAATAATAAAACAACTATACAGGATATTTTTTAATTTAATATCGAAAATACCTGTTAAGGTCGATGCTCACGAACGTTTTTTAGCAGTCGCGTTAACGTCACGTTGACGCAAACGCAATTGTTAATTGACACGAAGCACTTCTTGTCTTCTGTCCCGAAACAAGGCAGAGTAAATTGGTATTAAGAACGGAAAAGATGGATGTGAGTTCGAAAAAAGAAGTGATATTTATGCCTATGTCTTATTTACAGTTTGTGAGGAAGAAGAGGAAATACTGGGTGTATTCTGTTTACTAAAGGTTAAAAGGTGCTTTCATATTAAGCTTTTTGACTTAAGAAATAATCATCAATATCTGTACAAGGTCTTTACAATAACATACCACATATTCCTTAGACCAAAATAAGTTGATTTAAGTAAAATTACCTTAGTACAAAGTTGCTTCGTTTGGGCTCCAGAGGGCCTTGAAGTTACAATTTTTAAATCGTTTTTCCCATAAAAATTTAAAACGGCATATGCGATTTTGCTGAAATTTGGAATATTGGTAGAGTTTTATATGGCAAAAAAAATGGTATTAAAATTTTGTCCGATAATAAAACATGATTTTTTAAATAATTGCACCTTTAAAAATTCTACGCCAATGGAAGAAAAGGAGTTTGAGTATAAAATTTAGATTGCGCAACTCATTTACTTTAAAAAAGGTACTCCTGATAAGACTCGATTACTCTCATGGTTTTGACGAAATTTGCATTTTAGTAATTTTATAACATAAACAATAATTATTAAAATACAAACTTTGTTAAAACCATTAGAGTAAATCGAGTGTTATCAAGGGTACTTTTTTGTTGTAAATGAGTACCCAATCCAAATTTCATACTCAAACCCCTTTTCTGCCATTGGCGTAGAATTTTTAAAGGTGCAATTATTTAAAAAATCAAGTTCTACGCCTATGTATTATTATCGGACAAAATTTTATACGATGAAAAACATAAAAATGTACTTTTTTCATATCTTCTTCAACACCTCTAATCAAGACTTTTAACAAAAATACTCGATTCTTGCCATGTACGATTTTTTGAGGAATATTAATTATTTGCCTGCAATAAGTATACAAAAACATTTATTGTTGGTTTCCATAGTTTCATCTAAATAAAAATATTGTCAAGTTTTAACACCTAAACTCTTGTTAACGATTGAAAGTGAGGAGCGATCAGCCAAAACCAGATAAATCCATTTTATAAAGTTTTGAGATAATGGCAAAAAACCGTCCATTAGGGCGTCCGTAACTTTAACCAAGAAAATAAATGGTTTATCTGAAATATGCTGATATAGACCTCGTAATTACTGTTTTCGTTTTTTTTTTTTTTATGATTAACATAGTAATTATTGCAAATTACAAAATGGATTTATCTGTTTTTGCTTGAGTTAACTAATTTTATAATGTAAAAAGTGTTTATTTTAATATAAATATGTTTAATACCAAATCTTTTACGTTAATCAGGCATTTTTTAATTTTATTTATTTATTTTTTTTTATTTTTTTTTTATTTTTTTTAATATTATCTAAGTATAATAATATGTTTTTAAAACTTTGTTGTACTTTTGAAATAAAGCAAAGATGTATTTTCAAACGTTTATTATATTTTAAATTCACACAAAAATCAAAAAAGTTGAAAAAATAATGAACGATTTAAATGTGCATTCCTAGGTCATCATCGAGGCAATCGATTTTATTCTTGAACTTCGACGGCACCAGCTTCAAGTGGAGCTTCATGCAATATATTTTTGTACCACGCTAGATTCTCTTCATTTTCCCAGGTTGTACCAAACTGTTGAGCTATCAGATGAGCTAGGGATGTTTTCTTTTTCTCGGGAAGAGATCGCGTTAAAGGAATTTATTCTAATAATATTGGAACTTCTTTTCGTGCTTTAAGAATCTGTTGGGGCACTTCATTTAAAATTGCCATTCTAAAATTCTGATGACATTGTACTTTCGCGATATCTTGTCCTATTTTATCACGGGATTTCTTGATAAGGATTCGCTTGTAGTCGGAAATACCTGCAATTTTCTTAAGACAATCTTGCAGATTTTTAATGTCGTAAAGATTCCAGTCAATGCCAAGTTCTTTCACTATTCCAAACTGAGAATATTTTTCAAAGTATTCGTCCTTGCTTAATATTGTTCGGTTTTTTCTTAAACATTTTTCCACACAGCCAAAAACCCTATCTGCCGGAAGAAAGCTATGTCTTCGAACTGGGAAAACCAACTGGATTTCTTTTAAAGTGCCGGGGGGGCTATTTTTGAGCCAAAAATAAAAAACATGTACAATATGTGAGTTTTTGTTCTGGCCCCCACAACCCTCACAAAATAGTCTTAATACTTCAATGTCTTCGAGTTCCAGTAAATCCAAATAATTTAATAGAGCTGAACCTATCTGAACTGACCCACGACCAGCTTGTATCTTAATCCAGGTGTAAAAGATAGGGTGCCTTGAGTTCATGTCGACGCAACAAAATATATAGAGACTCACTTGGTGAGAGTAAAAGGCATCTGAAATGGGGATTTATCTGGTTTTGCTTGAATTGCTCGACTTTGAGGTCGATTTTGAATGGGATTTAATGAGTTTTGGTTGAAACTGATTGCGCCATCGGATTTATCTCACCAAAAGAAATAGAAATCGATCATTAAATCATTTTTGCCCAAAAGTGGATTTATCTGGTTTTGGCTGATCGCTTCTCAAGTGTTCTATCTGACTCAATAATTAAAAAAACAAATACGTGGTTTATTAATATGGCTGTACAATATACCAATGCAGAATATACCGATATGTTACTGATATTAGGATTTTGTGAAGGAAATACTCGAGAGAGTGTCAGGGTGTACTATGAAAGGTTTCCAAATCGTCGTGTACCTAGCCACCCAACTTTTGCTGCTGTTGAGAGACGTCTTTGGAAGACCGGTTCCTTTGTCCCCAACACTGTTGATAATGGAAGAGAACGTTTTGTAAGGATTCCTAAAGTTGAAGAAGACATTTTAGAACGTGTTGAAGAAGATCCAGAATTAAGCACCAGACGAATTGCAAGGGAACTAGGAGTAAGTAAAGTGCTTAGAGAACAATTGCTATATCCATACCATAAGAAGCCAGTACAAGAATTATTAGTCCATGATCCTCAAATTCGTTTGGGTTTTTGTCGATTTGTTAATATGCAAAGAGAAAGAGATTCAAACTTTGTCAAGAAGGTTCTCTTTACCGATGAAGCGGGTTTTACAAGAAGAGGTATAACTAGTACCCACAATAAACATGTTTATGCCGTTGAAAATCCGCATGCAATAAAGGTAAACCATTTTCAGCACGAATTCAAAATTAATGTGTGGGCTGGAATAATTGGTAATTTCATTGTTGGTCCTGTCATACTTTCACGAAGATTAACTGGAGAAAATTATTTGGATTTTCTACAAAATACGTTGCCAGAATTGTTAGAAGATTTACCTCTCCAACTTCGGAGAGATATGTGGTTTATGCAAGATGGAGCTCCACCACGTTTTTCTTTAAACGTTAGAAACCACTTGAATGAACAATATCCACACAAATGGATAGGCAGAGGTAATGACACACCTGTAAACTGGCCACCACGTTCCCCAAACCTAACACCGATGGATTACTTTTTATGGGGACCTCTGAAATCCACAGTTTACAGGGAACCTTTAGAAAATGAGGAACAACTCTCGCAACGTATTCAAGATGCAATAAACAATCTTAGAGGTGATGAAGAAGTTATGGAAAGGATACATTTTAATTTTCTTCGACATATAAATCTTTGTATGCGTGAAAATGGAGAACATTTTGAACAATTTTTGTAAAATCTCTATTTTGATTATGTTGTAAATAAATATTTTTGTGAAACCTATACACTCTAAATTATTAAAACAGAAATTTAGCGAAAACCATGAGAGTAATCGAGTCTTATCAAGAGTACCTTTTTTAAAGTAAATGAGTTGCGCAATCTAAGTTTCATACTCAAACTCCTTTTCTTCCATTGGCGTAGAATTTTTAAAGGTGCAATTATTTAAAAAATCAAGTTCTACGCCTATGTATTATTATCGGACAAAATTTTAATAACATTTTTTTTGCCACATAAAACTCTACCAATATAACAAATTTCAGCAAAATCGCATATGCCGTTTTAAATTTATATGGGAAAAACGATTTAAAAATTGTAACTTCAAGGCCCTCTGGAGCCCAAACGAAGCAACTTTGT